CTTAGTGGTAGTCTCTCTGGGCTCAATCCCCAGTAAGGGTGTGTGGGGATGTGGGTGGAGGGCAAAGATAAAAGGAAAAAGGGCCTGAACCAAAAGGGAAAATACAAATGACCAGACATAAAATTTCAAAGAAATGTGAATTAAAACAAAAAGTCATCTTGCTTGATTCATGTTACCAAACATAGAAAAGATATTTAACCTACAGTACTGTAATGTCAAACATTTTACATTGTTATAATTTTTTAGAGGGCAGGTTGGCAAGATAAAGTACCCCAAATGCCACTTTTAGCTGAGTTTTCTGTTTTTATAATTGTTTTAATTTGTTCTTTTTAGTTATACATGACAGTAGAATGTATCTTGACATGTTACTCACATATGAAGTATAACTTCCATAATTGTGGTTGTACATGATGTGGAGTTACACTGGTCATATATTCATATAAGAACATAAGCAAGTTATGTCTGAGTCATTTTATTCTTTTCTATTTCCATCCCCCCTCCCTTCCCCTCATTCCCCTTCGTCTAATCCAATGAACTTCTGTTTTTCCCTACCCGCCCCGCCATTGTGTGTTAGCATCCACATATCAGAGAGAACACTCAGCCTTTAGTTTTTGGGGAGTGGCTTGTTTCACTTGTAGTATGATAGTCTCCAGTTCTGTACATTTACTGGCAAGTGCCATACTTTCATTCTTTTTCTTTTTTAATTTTTTAAAATTTTAATTTGTTATATATGACAACAGAATGCATTGCAATTCATATTATACGTATAGAGCACGATTTTTTATATCTCTGGTTGTATACAAAGTAGAGTCGCATCCTTCGTGTCTTCATGCATGTACTTAGAGTAATTATGACCATTGCATTTCACTGTCTTTTCTACTCCTATGCCCCCTCCCTTCCCCTCCCTACTCTTTTCCTCTTTCTAGAGTTCATTTAATCTTCCCATCCCCATCCCAGCATATTATGGATCAGCATCCTTAAATCAGAGAAATCATTCAGCACTTTATGGCTAAGTAATATTCCATTGTGTATATATACCACGTTTTCTCTATCCATTCGTCTGTTGAAGCGCACCTAGGTTGGTTCTATAGCTTAGCTATTGTGAATTGAGCTGCTATAAACATTGATGTGGCCACATCATTATAGTATGTTGATTTTAAGTCCTTTGGTATATATCGAGGAGTAGGAAAACTGGGTCAAATGGTGGTTCCATTCCAAGTTTTCTGAGGAATCTCCATATTGCTTTCCAGAGTGGATGCACCAGTTTGCAATTCCCACCAGCAATGTATGATTATACCTTTTCCCCATATACACACCAACATTTATTGTTCTCGATAATTCTGATTAAATTGAGATGAAATCTCAGTGTAGTTTTAATTTGCATTTCTCTAATTGCTAGAGATGTTGATGTTGTTGTTATATAACTTTTAAAAATGTTTTCATTTACATAAAATGTAGAAGCATTTAACTGTTTAACACTGTTAGGTACAAAGTATGAGATAAAGAGTCCATCTAAATCCTTTGAAGTTTCCAGGTTCAAAACTAGGAACCCTCAGGTCTAGGGAGAAACTAGAGGGAAGGACTGAAGCAGGAGAGGAAACGAATCTGTCACTGGGGCTAGAAGGAGAACAGGATGAAGCTGGCATAAATTCATGGACACAACCCAGTCCTGGCTCAAGACCAGGTATGCTCAGAATCACTAGTTTGAGGGCATCTTTGTAGTAGGGCAGCTCTTAGTTTTACACCCCCAATGACAATGTATTTTTAATGTCATAGGAGTTTGTAGATAAACTTTTTATTAAATATATATGACTTCTTCAAGACTCCTCTTGTATCCAGAAAAGCTTCAGAAATACAAAAGAATTTTGATGTCTTTTCTGGGTCTGTTTCAATAAGCACATGCTGTGCCCAGAACTATGTGTCTAACTACAAGAAACATGTTGCTAGAGATGTTGATGTTGTTATATAACCTTTAAAAATGTTAAAAAGTAATAACATTTTATGTTAAAAATATGCAAAAGACCTAGTCTCTGGGCTTAATAAAATCATGCACTCTTGTATATAGGATATTCTGGAAACAACATTATAAGCAATACATGATTATTTAGACTATGGAAATTTAAAGGAGGAAGAGTTATGGCAGTAACACTGCCATAATTGGAATGCTTTTCAGAGAACATGGGAATGGAGTTAGGCCTTGAAGATGGGTAATATTTGAATAAGAAGCATAATTAAAGACCTAAAGGTAAGAACTTGCTAGATGTAAAAAGGTTAATGAGGAGACTGGCCAGCTAAAGTGGGAAAAGGAAAGTGGGTTGTATACAACAGGCCCCAGTTGTCTATGGGGTGGGGGGTACACCCTGAGATCCCCAGTGGATGCCTGAACCACAGGTAGTATTGAACACTATGTATACTATGTCTTTTCCTATATATATATACACCTATGATAAAGTTTAATTTATAAATTAGGCACAGTAAGGGTTGGGGTTGTGGCTCAATGGTAGAGCGCTTGCCTTGCACACGTGAGACATTGGGTTTAATCCTCAGCACCACATATAAATAAATAAAGATATTGTGTCCATCTACAATTTTTAAAAAAATTAATAAATAAATAATTAGGCATAATAAGAGTTTAACACCAATGATAAAAATCATAATTTTAACAGTATATTGACATAAAAGTTACGTGAATATGATCTTTCTTTCTTGAAAGAATCAAGAGAAATAGTAATATTTTAGAGCACATTTGACTATAGGAACCGAAGCCATAGATAAAGGGGACTATTGTACTGGGAACTCAGGAATGCTATTCTCATAGTCTGTGCAGGTGAATTTGGTGGCAAAGTAAGTACTGGAAAAGCGGAAAATGACTGAAAAAGTTGAAGTACTGGAATGAGAAGCTTAAACTTCATCCTGTAAGAAGCAGGGACTTGTGGGAGTTTTTTTGAGAAAAAAAGATAATTGATAGTAAAATAACTGAATATTCAGGTATTGGAGCTAGATAAACAGTTTGATTTCCAACAATACTCCTTTATTAACTGCATGATATGGAGAAAATTAGTTTATTAAGCCTCAATTTTATTATCTGTAAAGTGGACATAACACTATTTTCTTTCCAGAATTATTGTGAGGATTGAGACAACATATGTAGTGCTTAGTAAGTGTTCAGTAGATGGTATTTTATGATGATATGTGTTTAGGAAATTTTAAATATCATTAGTATATAAGATGAATTGGAGAAAGAAAGATTGGTACCTGATTTTGATTTTAAGTATTTTTTTAATTGTAATTGTAAAACCAGTTAGTTATTACATTATTCAGTGTCCTGAGTTACCTGTCCTCTGATATTGGGATACATTTTAATATTGCTGTGGCCCAGGCAATATGGAGGCACAGTTGTCACTCCTGCACATACATGACTGTTATATCTGGTCACATACTGCAACACCTTACCTTTTTAGTCAGCAAATCATTTAGTACCATCTGAGAAAGGAATGTGAGTCTTGGTTGTGATATGATAACCTTCCCAATGACAATTTCTGCAACGATCAAGAAGTACCTGACTCTTACTTGTGGTGACTTGGGAAAACAAAATCTGAGATAATCTTAGAGAACTTTTAAAGAAATACAGTAATGTCCATGCTATTGATGGCACAGAAAACAATATTGCACGAAAAAACACAGACAACAATGACTAAAGTAAGAAAACTTACTAAAGTAAATTTTTCTTTCATCCTCTTAGTTATAGACCTATTTGAAGGATCCTTTAACTCCAGAAGGATTGAGACAACATATGTAGTGCTTATGTTATGGACCACACAGCCAATAATATTTACTTTTCCAGGTACTTGGGATAGAGTATGGAAATCTTTCTTTTTTAATCCTCATAATGAGGTATCAATAGGGAAGTATATCCTGACTCAGAGTCCTGTTTACTTAGCAAAAAACCAAGGACTGAAACGTTATCAGAACTTCTGGGAAAATCTCATTTTCTCTTTATTTTATATCCTGAGATAATATCTTGAGGCTTGAAAGCAAGTTCATTTTTTCTCCCATCTTGTCACATTTCCACAATTCCTTTGCTTCTTTGTTATCCCCAGAGTTGTCCCCCAGCCAGTCCCCTGGGTATTCTTCTAAGTGAATGAACCAATCACTGGTGGTTGTAAGATCCAGTGTCTGTCTCCCCTTCTGTTGGTGTACATGTATGTACATTGTGCTGTTGCAAGATTCTCTGTCCTTTGAGAGATGTTTCATTGGCAATGGTGAGGAATGGAGTCAAAGACCAATGCTAATTCAGACTGGGGCTAGAGCTAGATGGTTTTGAAGTTCACCTTGCTCACCAGTATAAAACAGAGTAACAAAAGGGAGGAGGGTTGACCACTGGGGCTCTCTCTAGTCCTAAGCTTTATTGGTAATGGCATTTTTGACACTCTGCTATAATATATGCTTCTGTTTTTTTTGTTTGTTTCCTGATTCTCTTCAGTCCAACCTCTTGTGCCCTTGAGTCTCCTGTGTGGTAATCTGGTTTTGCAGGAAAATAGCAGCAGTTTCTTAGCAGGTTACTTAGAGTTTTAGAAACATAAGTCTGCAAAGATCTTGAAAGTGATTTTTCAATTAACTCTACAGGTAGGTGTTTATCAACCGGCCTGAGAAATGCAGAATAATGAATACCATTCCTGTTAGATCTGGAACAGGTGATGGGCCTGTGTTGACTGCAAAAACATAATTTTTTTTCTGAGAAGCAGTCTTTTTGTAAAACTTTTCCCACTGGTTCCTTTCCACTGTTGTTACCTATAATTTCATCATCTTTTCATTTAATTCTGTTTAGTATGATGTCTTTGGGGCCAGCGAGTATTTTTACCTGCTAGTTGTAGGCGTGTTTGTTTCTAGGGCTCTGAAGTAGCTTGGGGAAGTCTGCTTCACCCACTTGCTTGTTGCTTGGCACAAGTCCTCTGTGGTTGTTGGGCATCTTGTTTACTTCTGCTGTTAATTCCCTACAGGTGCGAAAGTACAAGAGCATGATCCTGGAAGACTTGGAGTCTGCTCTGGCAGAACACGCCCCTGCACCACAGGAGGTTAACTCAGAACTGCCGCCTCTCACCATCGATGGGATCCCAGTCTCTGTGGACAAAATGACCCAGGTAAGGGGCGGGAAGTGAAGAGGAGATGCAAAGGCAAGAGGCACTCATGTGGGCGGGCCTCTGATCACTTTTCCTTGGTGATTCAGAGACTGGAGTGTGATGGTGAGGCAGTATCAGCCTTGGAGAAGACATGGTAGTGCCAGAAGTATGCTCCCAAACAAGGGCATCATTTGCTCTCCTCCTTTTGTTGGCAGTTCTCTCCTTTCACTGGGACCTTTAGGTTGATAAAGAAACTTAGCTTGGGGCTGGGGATATAGCCCAGTTGGTAGAGTGCTTGCCTCACGTGCACAAGGCCCTGGTTTCAATCCCCAGCACCACACACACACACAAAAAAACTTAGCTTGGAGTTGGTTTGAACAGGTGAATGTGAGATTGTTCAGAGTGTGATCACAATCAGTTAGGACAAGTTTAGTCTCAAGCTGAGCTTCTTTCCGTGAAAATTCTGAATACCACCACATTATTGCCAAGTAAAGCTCCCTCCCCAGAGAATAAGAACACAAAGCTTCCAGGCAGAGTGTCATACACTTGTAATCCCAGCTACTCAGGAGGCTGAGGCAGGAGAATTGTAAAGTTTAAGGCCAGCCTGGGCAACTTAGGGAGATTCTGTCTCAAAATGGAAAGGGCTAGAGATGTAGTTCAGTTTAGTGGTAGAACACTTGAGGCCTTTGTTTCAGACCCTAAGGATTGCGGTTCAATCCTCAATACCATATTAAAATAAACAATATTGCCGAAAACAAACAAGAAAACCCCACAAAACTCGGAAGGACACCTACCGGACTCACTCATTCTTTCCCTCTTCCTCTGAGACATCAGTATACCTCATTAACTTTGTCGAAGGCTATCCCTTTTGTGGTTTTCTAGTTTTAAAAGTGATAGGTTAAGATCAACATTTTTTATAACATTTTCCAGTCTATTTATTAATGTATTTCTGTCTTGCTAAATCTAGTCTTCAGTTTTCTTTCTTTGACTGAGTCTCCAGCAGTATTTAACTGAGTTGATTTCACCTTCCTTCTTAAGTAGCTGCTTCTCTCAGTCTCTGTGACTCCTCACTCTCCTGAATATCCTCCTGCCTTACTGGCTGCTACCTACCAGCTCTTTTGCTGGCTCTTCTCCTCTTCTCTCCTGATCACTGTTTTTGTGTCCCAGAGCTAAGGCCTGTGTATACTCTAGTTTATGATCACTGAAATGTCTAGCACCTAACATGCTCAGAACAGGACCTTTGGTTGCCCTCACTCCACTCCGAACCTGTTCCTTCCCTATGTTACCTCTATCAGTTAATAACATCACCATCCATCTGGTTGTTAAAGTCCCAGGGTAAGAATAATCCTTTGAGCTGAGGTGGTAAAACACATGTGAGGCAACAGGTTCAATCCTCAGCACCATATTAAAATAAACAAATAAAGATATTGTGTGTCCATTTATTAAAAATAAAAAAAGAATAATCCTTATTTTCCTGTTCTACTTTCTACCCCTACCCCATTAATTTATTGGTAAATGTCAATTCACTTTTCTCTTTTTTTCTTTCTTTCTTTCTTTTTTTTTTTTTTGTATTACAGATTGAACCCAGAGGTTCTTTATCACTGAGCTACATCCCCAGTTATTTTAAATTTTTATTTTAAGGCAAGATCTCACTAAGTTGGTTAGGGCCTTGCTAAATTGCTGAAGCTGGCCTCAAATTTGTGATCCTCTTGCCTTAGCCTCCCAAGCTGCTGGAATTTCAGGCATGTATCACCATGCCCAGCTCAGTTCATTTCTGAATCACATCCCAAATCTGATTGTTTTTCTCAGTTCCCATCGGCACCCAGGCCAAGCCGTTAGCATCCCTCATGTCAGCTTTTTCAGTTGTCACTGATCCTCCCTACTGCTACCTTTGTTCTGCAATTCATTCTTATGTAGCCAACATAGAGATTTTATTTTTAAACTTACTTGTTTCAGTCCTTTAGTGGCTTTCCACTGTTCCTAGAATCAAATTCAAAGGTTTGAAGGCCCTTTTTAATCTTACCTTTTCCAAATTGTCCTTATCCCCTCAGTCAAGCCTGCAGCCACAGTGGCTGTCTTCGTCATATACCCCAAAGCCATACTTTTGCTTTTGCTTCTCCCTTTGCCTGAAGCATTGTCCTCCTAGATCACTGCAGGATTGACTTTTCCTTATGCAAATCCCTGAGACAACATTCCTTGATTATCCCATATAATCAAAGTTTCTCCTCCCTCCCACCCTCCAAGTTACTGGCAAATACATTCCTGGTAGTGTTGTCTTGGTAGCACTTGCACTGCCCAAAATATCTTATTCATGAATTTTCACACTAGTTTGTGGTCTGTCTCTCCAGCTAAAATTTGAGAGTGAGGACTTAAAGTTCTTGTTCTTTATTGCTCTTTATTACAGCTGCCCAGCACCTTAAATAACACACCATCTAAACACTAGTATCTATTTAGTAAATGACCTAAGGATCAGAGCAAAAATGTATTCAGTGCAGTGACAGGTGAGACCCCTGAGTAGAAGTGTACATTCAGTACAGACGCTGATGATGTTGCTCACAAAATGACACTTTGCTTCCTTAGGTTTGAAACAGCAACACTGAAGTAATACCACATTTTATAAAAATGAAGCTAAATTGTATTTTTGATTGTTGGGTTTATAGACCTTTCTATGGACACTTGAAGGATCTCTAAATAATGGTTTGGTTTTGTTTTTTTAAACTGTCCTTTCGTTGGTTGTTATTACTCTATCCTAGGGCCACTCTGATAGGTTAAAGTAAAGAACACCAAAGGCAAATTTTTTTGCCTGATGTGAAGAATCAACTCTGTACCTCAGATGTAAATTTAGCTAACTTTAAAGCTGACTGAGCCTCTGCTTTAGAATACTGTTAGGTAGACTGTTTCCTCTGAGGGGTGCTTTTTTCTGTCATGGTTATATTTGATGTTTAAAGTTGAAGAAGTCCAAAGTTTTGATTATACTAAATCATCAGATACTGATTTTTATGAAAACTGGTTGATGACCACAGAAGACAGAACATTCAGTTTAGTTATCATTTTGGAGGTAAAACATTGGAGTCTTGGTTGCTTTCCATTTCTGTGAACTGCACTCAGTAGAGTATGGTGCTCTGGTGGATCTAAGGGGCTCTGGTATTTGGTGTCATCAGTCACAACAGAGGGACACTGTTGGAGGTTTCTTGTCATCATACATTCATTTTCCTTTCTCTTCTCACCGTATGTGATGACTAAGAAATGAAACAAACAGTGAGGAGGAGTGAGCAGAAAAAATTTAAAAACCAGCCTGAAATTTTCCTCTTCAACCTTTGTTATCATTGTTTGCTTTGTTTTCCTAAAATACTTCTTCTTAACCTAAGCTAAATACCTCTCTATTCTAATTGATCCTAAAGCTTTTTACTATTAATAGAGTGAACCTAGACAGGCAAGGGTATGGGGAAGTAAGTGCTTCGTTACACTGTTGATAGAATTGTAAACAGGTACACTTTCTAGAGGGCAGGTTGGCATTGCATAGCAAACTTTAAAATGTGCATGTTGTGCCCTCCAATTAAGCAAGATGCTTGGTGTCTGTTTTTCCACAGCAATTATTTACAATAGGGAAATCTAGGAGCAATGTGTTTAGTTTAATTATAATAGTGGTGTTCAGTATTTACATGGAAGGAAGAACAATACAGCTCAAAAAAGACTAGAGGTTTACTATTCACCAAATTATTAGATACTGAAAATGATAATTTGCTTTCTGTTACAGTAGAATAATACTTGTAGTACCTTATGTTAACAAACTGGCTATAAAATAGCATTTTTTACATACTGCAATTTTAGAGGGTTAAGACTCTTTTTATTTCTTTTGAATGGCTAGATTTTTTTTTCTTTTTCTTTTTTTGTACCAGGGATTGAACTCAGGGGCACTCAACCACTGAGCCACACCCCCAGCCCTACTTTGTATTTATTTAGAGACAGGGTCTCGCTGAGTTCTTAGTACCTCACTTTTGCTGAGGCTGGCTTTGAACTCTTGATCCTCCTGCCTCAGCCTCCCAAGCTTCTGGGATTACAGGTGTGCACCACTGCGCCCAGCTAGATTTTTTTTTTTTTTTTTTAAGCTTAGGGTACCCAGAATTAAACTAATTAATTTCATTTTCTAAAATATGTACATAAAATGTATTCAGGTGGATGTATGTGTTAAACTTTTGAAGAGATATACACCAAAATATTTATAGTGATTATTTATACTTGGTGGTGTTATGGATGATTTTCCCTTTCTTTAGTGAGCATAAATTACTTTTATAATCACAGAAATGCAAAACAGTATTTTAATATTTTATATTAAACTTGCATTTGGGGGGCAGGTACCCACGATTGAACTCTGGAGCATTCGACCACTGAGCCATACCCCAGGCCTATTTTGTATTTTATTTAGAGACAGGGTCTCACTGAGTTGCCTAGTGTCTCACCATTGCTGAGGCTGGCTTTGAACTTTTGATCCTCCTGCCTCAGCCTGCCCAGCCACTGAGATTACAGGCAGTAGCTAAACTTGTATTTTTTTTTTAAGTGTAAGTTTGATGATGTTTCTGTTTTCTTTTACCGAAAGATTACTTTTTTTTAATATTAGGGTAAAAATGCCAACATCTCTTTTTCCCACCTTGCTTTTCTCTTAAATAGCTGCCGTATGTTTGAAGGCACATTCCTCAATTCTTTACTGGGCATATAATTTAATCTACCCTCCAGGGGATATTTATGTGTGTATGGTGTGTGTGTGTGTGTGTGTATGTATGTATGTATGTGTATGTGTTCGTTCGTTGATTCAAGGAAGTAGAACTCAGTTATGAGCTATACCCAGAAAGAACAAAATAACTATAACTAGACCTAATTCTAGATTTCAGACCATTTTGGTAATTCATGATTTCCTTAACGTGATCAAATCCTAGAATTGTCAAACTGGACTGTAATAGAGGTAGCCTTGGTTTAACCAGACATCTCTGTTAATTTTCTTATCTGCACTTAATGCTATGGGG